GGCTCAATGATGAATCCAGGGTCACACCCAAGCTGCAAACCTGTGCCTTCAAGGGGAGTGCGACCCCGTCCACCACAGGCTGTAACCCTATACCCTGTTCAGCCTTGGGTTTCAACCTCCCTTCCGGATCCCTTTGCATCAATGCTGCCCCATAAGCCCAATCCGATGTGTCACAGTGGATCACGAACGGCTTGGTTAAATCGGGGTGGATTAGGATTGGTTCCTCAGTGAATCTGCGTTTCAGTTCTTCAAACGCCCTTTGGCACTCTGTTGACCAATTTAGTTTTGCCCCTGGGGACCGTATCTTTACTGTCTCCCCCTTTCCCTTTGTTTTCAGCAGTTCGGTTAGGGGCAGAGTCACCTGGGCAAAGTCCTCTATGAACCCCCGATAAAAATTGGCAAATCCCAGGAACGATTGCAATTGCTTGCGTGTTTGGGGGGGTCCCCACCCCTTGACATCCTCTACCTTTGAGGGATCCATTGCTATCCCACCCTTGGAGATTCGGTATCCCAAGAAATCTATTTGTTCCTTATTGAATTCGCATTTCGGTAACTTAGCAAACAGCTTTGCTTCCCTCAACTTCTGGAGTACCTCCCTCACCAACCGGACATGAGATCGCTTATCACGGCTAAAAATAATTACGTCATCTACAAAACAATACACCCCGCGATACAGCAATGGGTGCAACACCTCATTAATCATTTGCATAAATGCTGATCCAGAGCCTTTTAGCCCAAAAGGACAGACGGAATATTCGTAGTGCCCGAGCGCACAGGTAAAAGCCGTTTTCCACCTGTCCTCTGGCCGTATCTGCAACTTATGATAGGCTTCAATCAAGTCAATTTTCGTGAACACCCTTGCTTCCGATAGTCTCGACAGTAAGTCCTTGGTTAGCGGCATTGGGTACTTGTTGGTCGTGCTCATTGCATTCAGTCCCCTATAGTCCACGCACAACCTCAATGAGCCGTCCTTCTTGTGCCTGAACAGCACTGGGGCCCCCAGCGGGGATTCGGAGGGTGTTATAAATCCTCGTGCTAAGTTTTTATCAATATATTTCCTCAGTTTCCATCTCCTTAGCCGACATGGGATACAATCTACTCCTGGGTAATTTAGCATCCTCATTGAGTTCTATTTTCACTTCAACCCGTCTTGGGGGAGGAAGCTGATCCGCCTCCTTTTCGTCAAATACATCCTCAAAGTCTCTATACTCGGGTGGGATCTCCTGCACTCCGCCTGCCGTGCCTTCCTCCCCCTTACAACATTTCCCCTCCTCCTTGCTTTGGAAGCTTATGCTGCCCTTTCTCCAATTGATTTGTGGGTTTGCTTCCTTTAACCACGGCATCCCCAGTATCACATTGTAAGTTGCTATAGGGGATACCACAAAGGTGATGCCGCCTTCCCAGTCCCCTACTTTGCATTTCACCTCTCCCACTTCGAATTGCGCCGGGGCTCCGGCCGCTACTGAGCCATCCAGCTGCGAAAATGCTATAGGGGCTGGCAAGACGGTCTTCTCACAGTTCAGTTCGTCTGCCAGTTCTGGGGTTATAATGTTCCTTGAACAGCCGCAATCCATGAGGGCTTTGCAGCTGGCCCACTTCCCCTCCCCTTCTAGCCTGATCGGGAACATCAACATTCCTGGGCTGTGACTCACCATATCTCTCTCTGGGGCCCTATGAGGGAGGCTCTCTTCCGCTCTCTTCCCTGCGGCCGGTTTAAACTTTGGGTGCGGGGGATCCCCCCCTTTCCTTTGTCGACACCCGGCTGCCCGATGGCCAAAGCGGCCGCATACAAAACAGCCTCCCTTCTGCTCCTTGGATCCTCCGGCGGCCCCCTTTCCGATCGTGCTTCTCTCCGTCCTCCGATTCTCCTCCTTGGGCCTTGTCTGCTGCAGCGCCGCCCCTTGATGCCTCTTGACCTGAGCCAAGGTCGTCTTGATGCGGCCGGCCAGCTCAATCCATCCGCCTATCTCCTCCGGATCGTCGCGATGAAGTGCCCAGGTTAAGATTTCTTTCCGCAGGCCCTCTTTGAATATCTGGATCTTGGTGGTATTGGACCACTCTGGCACTTTCTCCGCC